TGGGCTTATGTGAGGTCATTTTTGGGGTCCCATGCCATACAAATTAAACCTAAATAGGCCAGTAATACTCTTAGGTCGTGGGCTACTTAATTAATGGGCCTAAAGTCAATGATTAATATGATTAATCAAGTTGTCACACGACCGCTTAAGTTGTCATGTGACATGGGTGAATATGGGTTTGGAACACCCATTCTCATAAGAGGATAATACCTATCTACTGATAGAGTCCATATCCAAATAAAGATTTGGATTAAAACTCCCAATTCGATTAGAAGAGGTGCTCCATAAAGGATAAAAGAAAAGAAGAGTTCGAACTGCTCATAGTCTCTCTGCAATTCAGCCTTCTATCTTCTCCTCTTGCCGCCCAAGAAACCCTAGTTCAACATCCACTTTTGGGACTGATATTTATCGGTTTTCTCTCTGATTTTTGCAAGAAAAATACAAAAAAAAATCGTGATCACATCCCCATTTCGATCCAAGGTGTTAGATTTTAGTTTTGCTGAAAACTTATTACTGAACCGACTTCACCTTCAAGCTACGTCGTGTTCAGTGGAAGTTGGTTTTGGGATTTGATTTGGGCATTAACTACTACTTTGAAAGCTACATTTGTGGAATCCGTATCAAGTATACATGTCCCTCTTGTTTGGTTTCAAAATTGATCCGGTTTCAGTGTAAGATCGATCCTAGAAAAGTGCAATTTTTCTAAAACTGGGAATACGATTCCCAGAAGGTTCAATCTTGAACCATCCATATGATGGATTATCACCTTCCTTCAATGGTATCAGAGCCAAAGGTTCAATCTTGAACCAAAATAGATCAAATTTGAACCAAGACTCAAATCGACAAGAACCAGTCTAGTCGGTTTGAGCAGTTTGCAATTTTTCTGAGAAATCGGTTTTTAGATTAGGGCGAATTTATCTGAAATTTTTATGATTATATTCTGATATAATTTAGAATACTGTGATTTCTTGATTTCTTGGGCTGATTGTGTGATGGAGATCATATTCTTTTGTGGCACCAAGATCTGTGCACTCGAAAAATTATTATTTGATTATTTGGTCTATAATATTTTTTTTTCTTTTTAGAAAAATTGTATTAGGATTTTTCCTAATGTAAGTAATAAAAATTAGGGTTTTTCTATTTTTTTTTTTACATCGGAATAATTACTAGAGCATGCGGAGAAGAGAGTTTTTGCAAATAGAAAGATGAATGATAATGTGAAAATGAAACCCTAAGGGGTTATTAGCTTTTTGGATTTTGAGAGGGAGAAAGTTGTATCCATGTTTTTTTTCCCAGATTTATGTGGGGTCTATGGAAAATATATTTTCCCTAGGTATCCCCATCTCCGAGGTGGGTAAGTAATTTTCCCATCTATGGGGAAAGTTGCCAACACTTAGATGAGATAAAATTACCCCTTTTAATAATAATTTTTTATGGATAAAATGGTCATTGTCTTATTTATTTAGAAAATAAAATAACATGGGCAAATATAAGCCAAATAAGTGCATTTACCCAAATAAATAACTTCCTGAAAAACAAACGGACCTAATAAAAAATAGAAAATGCAAAGAAGAAGAAGTTCCACGGAGTTGGGATTCTCCTTCAGCTATGATGAGAGCACCTAGATGAGTGAAAAATGGGGGGTTGAGAAGAAAATCCTATTGTTTGATCGGGTCATGAGTGGGAGTTTGGCACACTTATTGATCAATAAATCAATGACCGGGCTTTCTTAGTAGACAAGGGGAATTCACGTCATCTGTCCCCTATTTTTCTGTACGAGACTAATGGCATTCTCACACATCAGCCTGTTTTTTCCATTTCAAAATTAAAGTGATTTTTTTAAATGATATAGTAAATTGCTATCGATCTGATTTCAGAAAATTTTCTGTACCAAGGGGACAGATGATGTGAACTCAAGAGGGGCTTGAAAAGCTCAAAAGCTTCGTTTGAAAGCTTCCTGAAATTTGGCCTTTTTGGTCTTTTTTTCTAGAGTGGTCTTTGAGCTGTGAACTATTGGAAACCAAACGGGAAAAGTCCAATTTTTTATACCAAAAGTCTCTATTAAAACCCAAAGATTCGCATGAAAAGACTAACCAAACGGGGTCATAATTTTTCAAAGGCGTAATACAACAAATACACCTGGATGCATTGCGATTTTTTGAACCCCGTAAGACAGGAATTTAAAATTAGGGGTGCAAATGGATCCGATCCAAAGATCCAATATTATTTGGTCGAATTCAAATCACCCCTTTTCGGATCTTCGAAACGGATTCGGATCACCCTTATTCAATATTTATTTATTTATAGAGCAAAGTACGGATAAGCCCATTTCTCATGGCATTTAAATTTAACTTTTTCAATCTTAGGTCAGATTCCCATGCCAACTCAGAAACCCTAGAATGCCGCTTAAACCAGTTTGTAATCGACTGTGAAGAAGGGCGGCCAAGTATACGAGCTTAGTGCGGCAACACGTAGACCTCAAACTGGTGCAGAGTCAGCTGGAAGAAGGGCAGTACAACAGTTGCAGCAGCAAGTTCTTCCATGATCTGCTACTTCTGTTCAATAACGCCAATAACTCCCCAGAATCTATCGCTGCCATTGCATTAAGAGAGCTCGCCACTAAAGAGATGGTAAGCAGAAACACTAGAAAACTGGATAGATCAGCTGATGAACCAAAGGAGTTGAAGAGTTCAGTGTAAATGGTTCAAACAATAACAAAGGAGATGGTGAGCAGAAACACTAGAAAAGTAGTGAAAAAAGTGATGGATGGAAAGATCAAGCTACCCAACAAGGTTTGGCGGAAAACATGCTACAGAAAAGAGGAATCCGGCTAAGAGAAGTGTTGGACGTCCACCTAAAAGGGTAATGAGGCAAACATCTCTGCCTCCTCCCGTATCATCGAAGAGGGTGAGAGAAACGGTAGAAACGGAAGCGGTTACAGCAGAGGGAGAGTGGGAGAGTGAAAGCGAAAGAGGAGTTCTGGGTTTGGGAGGAAGAAAATTGCAGGAAGAGGAGAGTTGAGAGTGGGAGAGACAACGAAAGAGGAGGGAGAGCAGGAGAGATCTAAACAGTGGGCCCCATCAGGGTCATTTTAGTCTTCACAGGTTAATTAGTAACTTTGAAATTAAAAAAAAAAAATAAGGGAAATCTGAGTTAGCGTGGGAATCTGTCTTAAGATTGAAAAACTTGAATTTAAATGCCTCTGTATGAGCTGGCCTGGATTTCAGAATTCTGAAATGGGCTTATCCGTACTTTTCCCTTATCTATATAAATATATATTGTAATATATATATATATATATTGTTTATTTATTTATAAATATATTATTTATATTATATTTTTATAAATTTGTCATGTTATTTATTTTTTTATAAAAAACATGTATATATACTAAAAATAATTAAAAAAATACTTGCATTTTTTATTTTTTCTCTACTTAAATTAGTATTTTTTAATTTTCTTTTAATAATTTAATTTTAAAAAAAACAAGTTAGATCGAATCAGATCCAAAGATCCACCTTACCAATAGGATTCAAATTTGGATTGAGGCCTATCAAATTCGATCAAATCTTTATTCATCAAAAAAAATCCGATCAAATCTTCGAATCAAATCAGATCCGCCATAAGCAATATCGGATCGGATTTGGATATACTCTATTCGAATCCTATCCGATCCGTTTGCATCCCAGCATACGAGAGCAAGGCATATGAGCATCATTTATTTTTTATCAGCATCTCATGATTTAGCTTTCTAGTCTATAGTTTATAAACTAACATTTCCCTTGCTTATAAACTAACACAAAGGGTCTCTTTCAGGGACAGGCATCAAAGCTACGCATGTGCTCATCAACTCTACTGGCCCACCCATGTCCAATCCAAGTGGCTAATTATGCGACGTCAAAAAAAAAAAAAGACTTTTGAAAGGTCATCCAAAGTTCTATTGGGATCCAATGCATTAATGTTAGTATGATTACAAATCTGTACAATTTTGACTAACATTTTAGCAGTTTATAAAACTCAAAAGCTCTCTGCCCTCCTTTCAGGCTGGCATGGCACGAGGCACGCCATAACTTCGGTAGATTCTGAACTTGGGCCAGCATTGTTGGTCCCAGTGTCCAACAAAGGGGGTGTTGAGTGAAGCTGGCACCCAGCAAACAGCATAAAACTGTTCAGAGTAGTACAACTCAAGCCAGGAAATTGCCCATGGTCCAACACAGCAAACCCACCCTGTACAATCCAACTAAGCATTCCTAATGGGCCAACCCATGCAAGGAAACTGAAGCAATAGATTTTATCCATTGCTTTAAATGTTTCTTGCTTTTATTGTTTAGTTGAGCATAATTTTAAATGTTTTTTACTTTTTACTCACATTAACACTTGATAAAACCTAACCAAACAGTAGTTTCATGTTCAATAAACATAAACGCCCATGTGATATTGATGTAATGGCATTTTTTTTAATTAACACCAAGAAACCAAATATCCCTTAGTTTAATATGCAATCAAAAGCTACATTTAATTGCAGCTCAATTTTATTAGATTCAATACAATACAAATGCATGGAAATGCAAATGAAAAAAATGCAAATTAAGTATAACTTTATTGTGCAGAATTTGCATCCAAATCATTTGCACTATCATAGTTTGGCATAAGTGCAAATTGAACTGCAACCAAACGCAACCAAAGAACAATGGACAGGATTATTATTTGTTTAAGGTGGTGGACCAAATGATTAGGAACCTAATAAATGCGCTTCACAATACAAAGCACCTAATTAATGAGCAGAAGAAGAAAAGAAAACAGTTTGCCCAGACAGCTAAGAAAAGAAAACAGTTTGCCCGGACAGCTAAGAAAAGAAAACAGTTTGCCCATTACCCCAATGATATAAGAAGAATTCTTTCCGTACTTCTGAATAAGTTCTTGAATTTAGATTAAAAAGAAAAATAAAGAGGGATCTGGGTTGAAGTAAAGAATGGTTCAATCAAATTTTATTGCAGAAATGATCAAGAAACATAATAGACATCCATTAGAATTTAAAACCATAAATTAAATTTACATTGAAATTTTACAGGAACATTAGTAATAGAATACATTTCTTTCCCACACTTTCACTCTTACCAGTTCTCACAAACCAACATCAAACTCAATTATCATAAAAAGAAAACAAGAAAGAAATCCCCAAAAAAAATAAAATTCAAATTTAAAAATTTAAATTAAATAGGACAAGAAAAAAAAGAAAAAGAAACTTTGCTTTCTAAACAAAAAGGACCCAACCCAGACCCTCAATCTCTGGCAATGCTGCTGATGCTGTTCTTGTTTTCCTTTATTTTGCATGTTGGGTTTAAACTATTAATTGCAGATTAGCACTTGATAATGGTCCATACAGATTTGTGGAGTCGAATTAATCCGAGGAGGGCTTGGTCTTGGACCTGTAGAGGAGCTTCTTCTTCTTAGAGCTTTGATTGTCAATGGTGAGGACGATCTTGCCTGGTTCTCCGATTTTGAAGCTATTGCACAACACTGGTTCTTCGCTTGAGGCGATCTTCCTCGATTTCTGAACGATCACGGTGTATCCATCTTCAGCGCTTGGCACAAATTCAGCGCCATAGCTGACATCCCAACCCACAACTCTTACCTCCCAGACAAGGTGGCATGCCTGCAAATCAATAATCTCAATCAGAATTCAAAACTTCAAACTACCCAAATATAGAGAAGATCATCAATTGAAGAAGAAGAATTAAGAAGATCAAACCCCACCTCAGATGCAGGGAATTCCACAGTTTGCTTGGTTGCAGCTTTTATGGTAATCTCGTTAGCAGCATCAGAATCGGTGAATTCACCTTCACCATCTCTGCTCAAGCCTCCAAATTGAACTGGTACAAGCTCAGGAGCTATGTATCTGCAACACAATCAGACACAAGATCAGAAACAAAGCCAAGCCCGCCAAACAGAATTAAATCAGAAAGCACCAAAAGCATGGAGACAGAATCCCTATTCAATCAAGGAAAAGAATAAACCAAAATCTTGACTAACTTGAAGAGAGTCTCAGTGGATTTCGATGGCCCAGCATAGACAAACTTGCTCCTGGTCCTCTGGGTCATGAAAGGACTAATCATCCGATTGATCGCTAGGTACCACCATGGAACATTGATCAATATCTAAAAACAGAAAGAAAATCTCCAAATCAAAACCAACCAACCAGAACCAAAATCAAGCTAAACTCAATCGGGTTTCAGAAAGGGATTGACCTGTTTGGCGAGGAATTCTGGGTAGTTGTCTTGGAGCAAGTAAAGGGCTTGACGGAGTTCCAGAATTCCGGGTACGACCAAGTTCTTGAGGTCGGTAACCTGTACGATGGTATTGATACCGTTGGGGCTGAAATCGAGCTTTCTGATGCTCTTCTCATGGAACTGAATCCTCCATCGTAGGAACTTCTTGCGCTTCTCTTCATCGGAGAAGGTTTTTTGATAGACGTTGTAGCAGACAGGGTGTCCATCTTTGCCGTCTCCGTGCATGAAGACCACCTTGTCGAGATCGTTACCTAGGTCTTCCTCAAGAAGGGATTCGACGCCGAAGTCCTCCCTCCAACGGACGGCGTTTTTGATCATGGCGAAGGCATCCTTAACCTTGAAATCCCTGGCTCGGAGGAATTTCAAGAGGATCACATCGCTCCGCTCGTCCTTGAGTAGGGGAATCCCCCAGATAGAGACCTCCTCCGGAGGTGGGGGTGGCACAGCTGCCACTTCTTCTTCTTTCTTCTCTGGTTCAGCCGGAGCAGCGGGAGCCTTCGCCACAGCAGCAGTAGAAGAGGAAACAGCCACGATGGTCTCCTCGATGGCCTCAACAGTCTTAGCACCATCGTCGTCGACGGTAGTGGTAACTGTCTCGACCACCTCAGCGACCACCACGGTTTCAATCTTCTCTTCCACTTTCACTTCCTTAGCCGGTTCCGGTTCGGGTTCTGCTTCTGGCTTCGAGGGTTCGGCAGTTTCAGTTCGCTTCTCCTCCACCGGTGCTGCCGGAGCCACATCCTCAGCACAAGCAGCCTTCTCCTCCGCCGGTTTCTCTTGCTCCTTAACTTCTTCCTTCTTTTCCTCTTCCTTCATCGGCGCCGGTGGCGGAGAAGTGAACTCGTGCTTTTGAAGGGCTTTCTGGATGAGTTGCTTGAACTCCTCAAGAGCCTTCTTTTCATTCTCAGGAAGATCAGCAACCACGTTTGTCTCCTCCTTGAACGAAACAGACAGAGCAAGCGTTCCCTCCTCAGCGGGCTTCGCTTTCTCCACCTCCACAACCTCTTCGACCGCCGCAGCAGCCTTCACCGGCTCCTCTACCTCCGGCGCCGGTGGCGCCTCCTYCTCCGTCGTTGTTTTTTCCGCCACCACTTGCGCCTTCGTCTCAGCCACCTCAGCCATCGCCTCTGCTTCTTACAATAATCTTGACTCGAGAGAGAGAGAGAGAGAGAAGAACAGAGAGGCGGAAGGAAGTGGAGAGGCTTAAAAACGAGTAGACCCAGACTGTCAGCCAGCTAGTACCGTTGCTTCAAGTGGGACCCACATCTAACCATCACCGTCCAGTCCATTTCTGTAACGTCCCACTCTCGGATGCTGCTGCATCGTGCCGTTGCTAGGCGGCAGCTTAAATATTTCTCCGCCTTGCCTCTTGGTGGGTCCCACTTGTTGCTTCTTTTTTTTGTTTCGTTTTATTCGTGCGTGGGTCCCGCGTGCCAAAGCTGTTGGCTGGTTTTTTCTCTCCTTTTTATTCCTTTTCCATTTAAATATTTCAATAAAATGCTAATTTTTTAATTGATTAAATTAATTAAGCAGCTTTTGTCGGGGATGGTTCGAAAGTTCGGAACTTCGGATTCGGGCGGAAAAGTACGTCTTCAACGTTCGATTTCAGTGACCACGCTTACGAGCCTTACGACTCCGATACTTTACTTCGCGAACTACTGTATTACATCAGTCCCCCGATCTGGCGGCTGAGATTCTACATAAATGCAAAGATGATGTAGCGAACAGAACCTTGAACTAAGTACAACAACAGGTTGGATTTCTCAAGAAATAACATCTTGAAGTCACCAAAAAACTATTAATATAATAATTAAATTCCTGTCAAATATTTAGATTATAATTTTTCTTGAATAAATTGTTGAAACCTCACGTGAACGGTGATTGAAACTATTTTTAAGGGATAATTAGTTATATACCTCATGTTTTTAAGAAATTATAGGGTATGAATGACCGTTCAGCCGAGGGTAAGCCAAAATACAGTTGGAATAGATGCTGGTTTCGAATTGTTGTTAATACAAAATATAGGGTGTGGGCTTTTAAACTTTTGAGTGTTTAT